TAATGAGAGAAGGGGAAAGACATGCAGCAAAGGTCGCCAAGGCCGGGAATCGAACCTGCCACAGATGCATCGAGGACTAAGGCCTCCATATGTGGATTTTTGATTGATTTTTAGAACATTCCCCTGATACAGAGTCAAAGTACGTCTCTGGCCCGTCTTTCCATTTTCTTATTGGTGCTGATTTTGCTTTTCTAAACAAGTTTGAACATAAGACTCAGCAGTCCCGCAGAAAATAACGAACTTACGACTGTTTTCTTAAGAACAGGCACGTCGTGCGAATCATTTCTCTTTTAACCCTTCGCCCTCTGTGTTTGTTCCATCCCGTCAGCGTACGGGAAGGTGTTCCTGGTGAGGAAGGTGAGCGGCCACGATGCTGGGAAGCTCTACGCCATGAAGGTGTTGAAGAAGGCCACCATCGTCCAGAAAGCGAAGACGGCCGAACACACTCGGACGGAGCGGCAGGTGCTGGAGCACATCCGCCAGTCTCCGTACCTCATAACGCTTCACTACGCCTTCCAGACCGACACCAAGCTGCACCTCATTCTCGGTGAGGACACGTAAAGAGCAAACTGCCTTTTAAAGTTCTTTTTAATTTCTCTTTAAAAAAAACAAAACAAAAACTTTTTTTTTTTTTTAAATCTTTCATCGCAGATTATGTAAACGGTGGCGAACTTTTCACGCACTTGGTGCAGAGGGTGCGGTTTAAGGAACAAGAAGTAGCGCTGTACAGCGGGGAAATCGTCTTGGCACTAGAACATCTGCATAAGGTGCGTTGTGTTTTGAATCTGAAGAGAATCGTCGTGGTGTCTGTGTAACTTCTGCTTCGTCGCCTCGCCGCAGCTTGGAATCGTCTATCGAGACCTAAAACTGGAGAATATTCTACTGGACTCAAACGGTCACATAGTTCTGACAGATTTCGGCCTGAGTAAAGAATTTGATCAGGTAAAATTCATTTCCACACTGTGTTTGTCCTTTAAACAGCCTAATTTCATATTCACAGCAGAAAGTGAAACTAGGCATTTGTTCCTGTTGGGTTTTAGCAAACAATACTTCACTCTTCATACCCAAAGCCCACCATCTTCTTGAACTAGTTTATTTTATTTTATTTTATTTGGACTTTGAATTTAGGTCAAATCTTCAACAAAATATAATGGCCAAAATAAAGTCAAAATGTTACAAGAATAAAGTCTTATCATGATAAAATCCAAATAATAAGAGAATGAAGCCTTAATATGACCAGAATCAAGTTGTAATATTGGGAGAATAAAGTAGTGATTTTATGAGCGCTCCATCACACAAAAAAATAATAATTACCCAAGCTTTTATCTTAATAAAACAGCTTTTTTTTTCTCGTAATTTTAACACGTTCTCCTGGTGAAGTTCCATATTTGTCCTGCTAATATTACGACTATATTCTCGTAATTAAACAAAAAGTATTGTAGCCTCACCCTAATGCTCTGTTGTAAGGATGAATAAAATATGAGACACTTTTTGAAAATGTTATTTCTAACAGAAAAAAAGTGGGGGAAAAAGTTTAAAGATTAAAATCAGAAATTGGATCTGGTATGAAAAGAATCTTAGATTATATTCCTAAACCGATAACAACCCATTTTCAGTTTTCTGCTGAAAACGGACAGATTTTATTCAAAGTCCTGTTATTTCACGTGATCTCACATCCTTCGCAGGGGAAACGAGCCCACAGCATCACACATCCTTCACTTTACCTGCCAGTACATAAGAGGCCCTTTTCCAGAAACGTATCTCTTCAATGTTTTTCTTTGCGAGATACGCCCGGAAAGTCTTTATCCAGAAAAACTTGTTTCTTGGCATTATTCCTACAGCTTTAAGCAAACTCCACGCTACACACACTCACACACGCACGCACGCACGCACGCACGCACGCACGCACGCACGCACGCACGCACGCACGCACGCACGCACGCACACAGGACAGCAACAGCTCGCTTCCTGGCATTCCTCTCAAACAGCCACAGACGTCTGAGGAGCAACGCTCTCTGATACGCTGCAGAAAATATCCCTCCATCATTTTTTAATGAACACTCTGGCAGCGTCTGGCCGTCTGCAGCTTCCAGCGGCGCTAGCCAGCCATCCAATCTGGACATGTTGCGTTCAGAGTCCCCGGTGGTTCCGATAAAACTTTCTAGAGGTGAAGTCTAGTGACTGAAGACCGTCTCTGCACACTTTTTGTGTTTATGGGAGTTTTTAACAGCGTTTCTTCCTGACTCCTCTCCCAGCGTTGTTTGTCGCAGCTTCACTTTTTTTAGGCTTCTTGATTGTTGCTCTTTCTGTGGATTTAGGCAAGTTTATGCAAGTAGCTCTTTCCTTGTGGCCATTTCATGAGTTGCGAAGATCGACATACATTTAACCATTTAAGTGCCAGCTTAACTGATTTGATTAAATGTGTTTTTCCGCTATTCGTTGCAATAAATTCTTGAAACGTAATTAATTTGAGTAAAATAAATAGTCTTAGATTGGTCAGCAATTACTATTTATCTATTTATTCCCTTTTAAAAATACTTGGATTTACATTTAAAGGGTTCAAACTGTTTGTTTACCTCCAGTGTTATGTTTGAAACATTTATCAAAAAAGAAGAAGAAAACTGTGTCGATGCCTAAAACGTCAAAATATGACTATTTTCATGAAAACTAAATGCAAACATTATAGCATAAATGGTTCTATACTCAAATGGAGACAAAATTTTACCTTTCATTGCAAGTCTGTTGGGAAAGTTTGGCGACGAAGATGTTAAACGTGAGTAACGGGCAAACCATAAAAGAACCCCTAACACAATTCAGTCGGTGTTGTTGCTGATATTATTGTTTCAAATCCCGATGGTACGCTTTTAAATATGTATCCTGCTACTCTCCTTTTTTGTCATGTTTTAAAAAGAAGTAATGAAAATGTTGCTTCAGTTACATGCATTTAAAGGACAGAAATACCAAAATATGTGGTTAAATACGTGGAACTTTTCAAAACATTGATGGATCAAATTTGACAAGCAAAATAATTTCTGATGTTTATGCCCCAAACTGTTAAATAGCCGAAATCATCACCAAATATGAAAAAATAAATAAAATTAAAATATATATTAAAAAATCACCATGGGAGGCTTACAGTGAGTGTTAATGAATAAATTACTCCAATTAAAGGTTATTTTTTTCCCAGCTTCTGAAATTATGCTAGTGCCATAAAAAATAAACTTATTTCAATACATTCCACACGTCTTTAAAAGGAGTGCCAGTAATTGTACGGGGTGCTGCGAAGCCTCAGGACATTTTTATCCGTCTACACTGACGCTCTGAAAGGATAAAATTGCAATTTGTAGTGAGCAGTTCCGGTTTTTACTTGGAACACATTCATTTGAAATAATCCATTAGTTATGTATTTTTAATTTTAAAAGAAAAAAAAAATAAAAAAAAATATATATATATATATTTTTTTTTTTTACGTGTGAGCTTTTTTCACTCGTTTCAGCTGGACACCTCTGAGTAAAGACGGCGCTAAAGTTAATTCGCCTCTGTGCGCCATCATGAATTTAGTAACGTTTGATGAAAACGCCTGACGACACCCTCGACGGTGATGTTGCTAGGCACTTGTCGTTCAAATCCGTCAAAAAAAGCCTCTTCAGTTCTAAAAGAAGAACTGAAGACGCCCGCGTGGCTGAGCCTCTCCACAGACGACACATCAAAAACATCTGTGTGAAGAGACAAGTTGAATTTTTTTCTTTTTTTTTTTTTTTTTTAAAGACTCATAAACTTCTATTCTGACTAGCATTGTTGATGCTTCAACAAAGATGTCAAAGACTGCTTGCTTTTAAAATGTGTTCTTTGGTGGATTGATTGTTTTGTTTGTTTCAGGTTGAGAGGGCTTTCTCCGTTTGTGGCACAGTTGAATACATGGCTCCAGAAATAGTCGAAGGAGGAGATTCCGGACATGACAAGGTGAATTTGTGGCTTTAAAAGAAAAAAAAAAAGTGACTGCCTTTTAGTGCAATGAATTTCCCTTTTTAACTAAAAAGCCTTGGGTTTGGGCTCTGATGCGTTCCAGGCGGTGGACTGGTGGAGCCTCGGCGTGCTCATGTACGAGCTCCTGACGGGCGGCTCGCCCTTCACCGTCGACGGAGATGAGAATTCCCACTCGGACATCGCCAAGTACGGATTCGCCTATGCGGAGCGTCAGGTTTTGTTGTCGACATTCTGCACTGCTGACGATGTTGGTGTTGGATGTTGCAGGAGGATTTGCAAAAAGGATCCTCCTTTCCCCAAAGACATGGGACCGCTGGCCAAAGACCTGATCCAACGACTCCTTGTGAAAGATCCAAAGAAAAGATTAGGATCCGGTCCCAATGGAGCAGAGAACGTGAAGAAACATCCGTTTTATCAGGTGGAGATTATGGAGTGTTTTACGTCACTTTACATTTCATTGCAAAATTTTGATTTATTTTTTTTTACATTTTGTGACACATGGCTATAAACCTTAGTGCATTTTATTTAATATACCAAAAATTGTGATGGTTGCGAAGGGAATGCAGAAAGAAACTGGTCAGAGTTGATGGGAGGGTCAGAGAAGGCAACTACAGTGGAAACCTTTTTTTTTTTTTTTTTTTTTTTTCAAATGGCCTAGTAAAAGCCCAGACCTCATCATTCAGTCTGGTAGAAACATAATCCCAGAGTTTCTGCTGTAACTGCAGTGAAAACTGGTTGAAAAGCATCACACACCGATCTGATATTAATATCTGTATCGGACCGGATACTGAAAGAAATTCTAGATTGGGTATCGCCTGATCCACATTGGTGGATCTATTCAGTGTAGTTCTATGCTTTGTGCTCATGCTTTACTATTTATTTTACATCATATTTACAATTCTTAATTGCACTTTCTGACCATTTGCTGCAGTTTATTTTTACATGTTTGAGCATGTGTCTTTATTATTTATTTTACATCGGCTGTTGTTCTGACTGAACAAAGTTATGTTATTTTTACACGATTGACCAAACTTGTGAAGCTATTGGTGTATTTAAGTTTACATTTATGAAAGTGTTTAAAAAAAACCCAAAACGAACAACAACACTTTAAGTCAATTCAGTGCTGGTTTTCTGTATCGGATCGGAACTGGCTGATACAGAACCTCAGATATCGGTATCGGCAACGGAAGGGAAAACAGTGGATTGGTGCCAAACTTTTGCGATTAAAGAAAAAATGTATATACATATTTAGTTTCGCTAGTTTTTATTTGTTCTTAAATAAATCCCTATACAATACATCACAGTTTGTGATTGTAACTTGACAAAATGTGAAAGAGCATAAATACTTTAGCCAGTTAATGTATTGTGATGAGGTTTGCTAAAGGCTAGGAATGGTGTTTCATTTCATTTTTTCTTTTCTTTTTTTTTTTTTTTAGAAAATCAACTGGGAGGACTTGGCAGCGAAGAAGGTACCTGCGCCGTTCAAGCCGGTGATTCGGGACGAGCTGGATGTCAGTAATTTTGCTGAGGAGTTCACAGAAATGGACCCCACTTACTCCCCTGCAGCGCTGCCTCAGAACTGTGACCGCATTTTCCAGGTGGGTGAACAGGAGGGGATGTAAACAACCAGACTCCGTGTTTTCAGCACTCTTTCTTTTTCCTTTTTTCTTTCTTTTCTTTTCCCTGCTGTTTCCTTAAATAGATACTCCTTTGAGTTGTTGCACAGTGTAACATTCAATTCTGCATGCCCTGTTTGCCTGGGCTTTGAGGCTGCAGGCGTTGTAAAGCGTTAACTCGGACGGTAAAAAAAAAAAAAGAACGACAAAAGCATTATCCTTTACTTGCTTTTTTGTCCGCGGCTATATTTGACGTACTTCACGGCAATTGAAATAATCGATTCAAGTTCTGAATGTCCTCAAAAGGTTGCTGTAAGTCAACATGAGTCTGTCTGTGTGCATTGGTATTCAAATTGACTAAAGGGTCTTTTATTGGAGTAATTGCTGCCATATGCAGCTCTCATTGAAGTAACAGATGTGAATGACTATTTTTGATGTAGCTTTGAACCATAATATGGCCCACAACTCCATGCCAGCTGATAGCTGTCTGATGTATTGCATGAAATTTCAACTCTGATTGCCTTCTGGATCCTTGAGCTCGGCAGATCAATAGATCCATTAACGGGCTTCTCTCATGAAATAAAAGGTTACGCTTCGAGAGCATCACCACGTCTATCTCGGTTACGCCTTCAGTCTTTGATTGCCAACTTCATCTTGGCTTTTTCCCCCTCTCAGCTGCCGTTCGCACACTCCCGAAATTTTGCAGTCTTTATAATTTGCAAGCCTAGCAATCTCTGAGATAACGACAGCAATCCCAGCTTAAGCCGCGCACTTGCTCCCCCGTGGTGCCTCACAAAACAAAATTAAAATTGCATTAAGAGTGCCAAGATGTAATTTCACGGCAGAGCAATCAAATATTCAAGCCCGGCAATTTAGGGCATCTCATTCATTCGGCATCCATCCTTCCGTCCATCCATCCATTGCTGTCATTGCGTACCACACAGCTGTGTGTGTGTGTGTGTGTGTGTGTCGGTGGGGGGGGGAGGAGGGAGATGAACGCCAGCTCAAAGCTCTGGGCTCCCCACAGCTGGAATTAAGCAGTCACGCAGCACAATGACAGTTTTGACAATAGCTACAGCTGGACGGCGAGCTGTCACTCAGAAACGAGCCAAGAAGCGCAGTTTGGACGGGTTAAAGTCAGGAGGACTTTTACGACGCTTCCCCAGCGAAGGACGCCTCCTCTGCTCTTGCTCCTTGCAGTTTATTCCTCGCTAAATGACTCGGTGAAATGTAAACACAAGCCCGCTCTTCTGTTTCTGCTCGCAGGGATACTCTTTCATGGCCCCCTCCATCCTGTTCAAGAGGAATGTGGTGATGGACGACCCCATCCAGCTGTGCGGCGGCTCCGAGAGGCCGGGCTCCGCCGCCGTGGCCCGCAGCGCCATGATGAAGGTGAGACGAGCAGACTTGGGTCTCTCACCCCCCCACCCCCCCGACCCATAGCAAAAACACACTTAAAACTAGCGCCGGCAGTCGCGGCCGTTAGATTTTCTCTGTTTCTTTGTAACAAGTTCACTTTTTCTTTTTTCTTTTTGTCGAACTTCGCTTGCGTCACTTTGCGATCCGCGTTCAGGCCTGAGCCCGTTTAATACACAATGTTTCTTTTTCTCCCATGAACGCCGGCAATATGTTGCCTTTTGGGAAAGCAGAACCACAACGGTTTTAAGTCTGTACTTTGTTTCAGTCTTTTATCCCAGGGGCATTTCGATATGAGCGATTTAAAAACAAAAAGAAAGAAAGTTGACAAGTAGACCAATTTTTATTTTTATTTTTTTACTTTTTTGGTACTTTTTAAAGGTTTACTTTCACACTTGTAAACGTTTTAGCTCGCGTGGAAGCCTGTTTCTTTTTAGTACCTAGTTCTAACTATACAAGTTAAAGTTTTAAGCCGAACTAAGCTTTGTTCCATGGTTTCTAATAGAAATCTGCTTTTCAAATTGTTAACCTTTGTGTGTAAACGGAGTGCGAGAGAAAAGAATGTTCATGTCTTGAGTAACTTATTCAGAACAAACATATTCTTACTTATTAAACCTTTTTAATTCATTTCAATAAAAAACAAACTTTATTTATCCCAAGGGGGAATTAATTTTTGGCATAAGTCATATCATTCATTGGTCCATAATATAAATAATATATAAGTTCCCAATAATATACGTAGAAACTATTGATGCAACTGCAACCAGTTCAGACGTGTAAATACTTTTGCAAGCTGCTCTATTTTGCAAGCTCTCCATTTATAACTGGAGAGCTTCTTTTTGTCCCTCAAAACATTAGTTTCTGTTTAAGTATTTTCTTTTAAACATACTTGGAGTTCATACATCTGAAGGAGTGAAGAAGCATTTAGTTTTTGATGTTGAACCTGGTTCTTGACTTTGTTTGACGCTGTTTAATCTGGTTTCTGTTTACCTCCTTCCCCATAATCTGTATCTCGGTCTGTGTTTGTAACGTACTGAACCACCGGTCCACCGTTTCTCTTCTGTGCAGGACTCCCCTTTCTACATGAATTATGAGATGGACCTGCAGGACAGCGCTCTGGGAGAGGGCAGCTTCTCCATCTGCCGCCGCTGCACTCACAAAAACACCGGACAACAATACGCAGTCAAGATAGTCAGCAAACGGTACAAGCTTCTTTTTAGAAATGTGTTTTTCCACCTTGGTGCTTCACACTTTGGTGTATTTATAGTTACATCGGATGCATCCAGCCCACCACTGGCTTCTCTAGCAAAAAACAAACAAACAAAAACAAAGAAAACTGGGTATTGGTCAGCCTCCTTTTAAAGAAGGTCTTATGGCAGTATTACATAAGACATCATGTGTGAAACTAATGGAAGAAAGCAGAGCGCCAGGTATGATCTCAAGCAATCCATCTCTTTTCACACAGTTGTTGCTTTTTGGTTCCAATACTCCCACAAACCCTGCTCGCATCTTGGACGCCCGCCGCCGCAGACTCTACGGCTCCTCACTCTCATTCACTGACAAATATCGCTCCAGATATTGGCGCCGCTTTATTAGGGAGGCACACAGCCGAAAAACAAACCTCATCTGGACAATCCGGGATAGAAATCGTGCTTTACTCGTCGAAGCTGTTTTGGCACATTTCTTGACACTTTCAGCGCCTTGAATTTGTCGTTTTTACCACTTTACAGGTGCAAACCTCTGTATCTCACTGGAATTTTTTAGGGGTTTTAATGAGTTTTGATCTGATTGCATAATTTGTGTCACTGTCCTGCTGTAATCTTGAGATTCTTTTGCATCCCCCAGCAGGTTTTCTTCCACCATAGCCTTATAGTTAAATGTTTCTCATGATGAAACCATTCCCAGTTGTCTAAATGATTAAATGGTTTTCTGGAAGTGCTAAAAGTTACAGGTTGATGGAGAATAATTTGTTTTACATTCAGTAGCACAATCATACCATCCATCCTTCCATTGGCTATATTCACTTGCAAGGTCACAGGAGTATTGACCCAACTTGTTCAGTTATACATTTTTTATGAACTGATTCAGTAAAATTTACACCAAAATCCAATATACAAACCACTTGCAAGACACAGAGATCACCTGAGACGTTTTCCTCTTTGTGCTTGTTCGTGTCTGCTCTAGGATGGAGGCGCAGACTCAGAGGGAAATAGCGGCCTTGAAGCTCTGCGACGGCCACCCGAACATTGTGAAGTTGCATGAAATTTACCACGATCAGGTAAGGTTGGATCTGGCAACGTTCGGTCTGCGGAGCCTGTGGGACCCGCAGCCTTATTAAGTCCTAGAACTGGAACAGGACAGATTAATGGGAGCCTGCCGGGAGCCTTTTTCGGTCTCTTTCTGCATCGCTCTCGTGTTGTCCGCTAATATCTCTGTGTGCATGATATTTCAAAGCTGATTTATTTCTGAACCACAGCTGTATAAACAAGCTTTTTTGTTCAGCTGAGTGGAAACAACCTAGTTTCACTTGCGCTGCTAATAGAGTTGCACACTTAACCCAAAGTGAGTGCGCATACGCTTTGACGTGGCTTACCTCGGTTATTTGGGAAGGTGTTTCCAAGCGTCTGACTGCACACAGGTTCATTAGCCAAAGTCCTTCATGCCCAGGAGCACCACTTTAGTCCTGATGAGCTCAGCGGGGTTATTACTGTACCTCGCAGGCCTGTGACCCAGATCAAAGCGGCGCTGCCTCGCTCCTGCTTTTGTTCCTCAGATCCAGCGCTAATGAGAAACTGTACCCTGCTGCCCAAACGCTTTATTCTCCTCCATCTTTATTAGAGCCCTTTCACTTTTACTCAATACTATTATGATTTGATCTCACCGTCATGAGATCGGGGACGGGCTGCGGCTGATCCATGTTTCGCTCATCTGTTTGACATCCAGGTGAAGTTGTAACAGTTAATTAAATTTGTGCTGTTAAATGTATTTTTTATCAGCTTTATTTGGCTTGGGGATAGTTTTAATAGAGTGTGGCAAACATATAAACAGACCAGCATCAGCCCAAATATGGGAATGTTTGCTAGCCTCACTGTAGGTGTGTTTATTCTGAAATGCACCAATAAGAAAGTCATTTTCTAAGCCGCTGGTTTTTTTTTGTTGCCAAGCTTTGACCTGACAATAGCAACTTCAGCCAGATTCTACTGTGTTTTTAAGATTTATAATATAAGGGAATGTGAGCACTCCATTCAGGAAACACAGTAGTCCTCTCCCTCTTTGGAGAATGTGGACCGCTTCTTTTATTATATATATTTTTTTCATTATGTAAGGGATCATCTGGGAATAATATCTCAATGGTTTACGAGTGCCTCCAAGGGGTCAGTTGATAATTGGGCGAAATAATCAGGAACTAGGTCATGCTGTCAGGTTCACTTTCAAGCATTTTGCATGCTGAGGTGAACAATGTCAATCTAAAGCAGCCCAGCTCAACTTGTTTCTGCATTGTCAAATGTGTAGGAAAGTAATTTAGCAACGACATTATATCTCCTTATGACGATAAAATATGCAATTGTAAAATGTTTCCACATTCAACACGCTTCAAGAATGTATGGTTGAAGGCTCATAACAATAAAACAGAGCAACTTTGTTTTAATGTTTAATGTACAGCTTTGAAGTTGAAAGTCTCGCTCTCTCTCGCCGTCTGGCAGCCTTAATGAACCTCTGACAAGACTTGGTTTGTCATACATGATGCAGTTTCCTTTTAAATAGCTTCTTTTGTCTTTTGTGGTTCTCCTGACCTCCTTTTTAAACAACTTGGTGACATTGAGAACAACTACCTTTGCTCAGTCACAGCGTCCACGCTGTTGTGTCATGAGCTAGCTTGTTCCGGTAGCGCTTCCCGATGGTGCATTCTTTGAGCGTGTTTTTGACTTTCCGAGGCCGATTAAAGTGAAAAATCTCTGAAACTAATGTGTTGGTTTTTTTTTTTTTTTTTTGGTCTAGCTCCACACATTCCTGGTTCTGGAACTGCTCGGTGGAGGAGAGCTGCTGGAGAGAATCCGGAGGAAGCAGCACTTCAGTGAAACAGAGGCCAGCCGCATCATGCGCAAACTGGTGTCTGCTGTCAGTCACATGCATGACGTAGGAGTGGTGCACAGGGACCTGAAGCCAGAGGTACCACACATAACTCAAAAGAGCTACATTTTTATTTTTTTCCATGTGTATCTTTTGCGGTAAATGCAGCCTGGCTGGATCATATGCTTTGAAGGGAGAATTACTGTGTTTTTCTGAACTGCATATGATGTGGCTTGTTGTCACTCTGACTCTGCAATCTTCTTCAAAACAAGAGTAAAATTGTTTGACCCTAACACGGGTCAGAAGGACCCCGGCCAGTCTCGATGTACAATTTAGCAGGCTCTTGACTGAACCGAGCAGAAGGAGAGAGAGAGAGAGAAGAAAAAAACAGAAAATGATTGCTGTCCGTGTCTCGAATTGCTTCGTAGAACCTGCTCTTCACAGACGAGAGTGAGAACTCTGAGATAAAAATCATAGACTTTGGCTTTGCGCGTCTGAAACCACCAGACAATCAGCTGCTGAAGACTCCCTGCTTCACCCTGCAGTATGCTGCCCCAGAGATCCTCAAATATAACGGCTATGATGAGTCCTGCGACCTGTGGAGTCTGGGGGTCATTCTGGTGAGTGTGCGACACATAATACTGGTAATTGGAATAATGAAGTGTAATTCAATATGCAACATGCTGTTGTTATCCCTGTCTACTTTTTTTAGTAGTCATAAAATCACATATTTTACTAAATTGTGTAAAACATCAAGAGGTAAAATGCATAATGTTTCTGGCTCAAATAAAAATAGGACAGAGTTATAAAGTCAAACCACTGTGAATTAAACACATTTTTGTTTAGTTTGGTTAGGTTCCCAGTTACTCCGTGTCATCTTTTTGTACTTTCAAATTGCCTAAAAGTTTAGTAATAACAGGGTGTTCACAGGTCCTTCAGAAGTCTTACATTCTGGTATTTAAAATTAAGGCTTTAAAATGTCTTAATTATTTAAAAAAAAAAAAGTAAGTCTGTCTTAAATACATTAGTCAGGTTTTAAATTTTGTCTTGGCAGAACTAATTTTCTTTTCTATCGGGCAAAAAGTTGAGTCACAGGAAGACATCATTGCGTTCTGTGACTCATTACTAACATACCCTTGCTAGCTAGCTAGCTTTTTTTGCATCTATAATGGGTAAGTGCAAATTTATCGCAAGTTGGCTGGACAAAGTTCGTACATTTCTTTGGAGATATGAGTCTTAAATTCCATTCGTAATGGTCTTAAAAAGGTCTTGAAACGTCCAAAATTGGAGTTGGTGAAACCTGCAGAGACTCTGAATAGCCGCGCTACTTGTACTAATCACATATGAGATGCGGAAGATGACTTCCACATAATGTAGCAGTAAAGGCGTGTTGCTCGTAATATATAAAAAAAATGAATGGCTGCAGGTAGGCACAAACATTTTATTATTTTTAAACATTAACTAAAGAGAAATCTCGATTGGCCAAAGATGGAGATCAGTTTAAAAAAAAAAAAAAAAAACTTAAATCAGCCACAAAATTCTGGTTTGTGTTAGAGAACCATACAACATTTTTCACTAGCTTTTAGGGAACATCCTTTGTAATGACTCCATTATATAAATTCATAATACTCACTATTTAAATCCGCAGATCCTCTTTAAAGTTTTTCTCTGAGGTTAATCTATCCTAATCTTAAGCTTTGTACTCAGCCGATTTATTTGTCTTGTACAGTTTTTAGATTTCAAAAAGATGAATGCTGGGTATCGTGCATAATTTCCACCTAAGCTCCTGGTGTCCTGTGGTAACCGGACTCGATTTAATCTGAACAGAAAATGACCAAATCAGCTCTTCCAAAAAAATGCCATCCTTATCTGGTCCTTTTTTAAAAACATTTCTGGATGAAGGAGGAAATAGAAAAGGAGACTTTGTGTGTGGACAAAGAGAGAGGCACAGATAGCAGAGAGAAAATTCTGCTTCTGTTCTGGCCAGTCATCCATTCAGAGCAACGGCTTTTATATTTATGCGCCGCTTTGCTGTTCTCCCTGCGGGGGCGTGGGAGGGGGGATACATCGCAGTCTGCTTTATGAAGCTTTGATAAAAACGGGTTCTGACATGCTGTGTGCACAATGCCCTGCAAGCCAAGCGAGCTGAGACGGTAGCCAAAAGTGCTCTTCCCCCGCTGCTGTCCTTTTTAATGAGAAATCTGAGGGCAGACATAAGCGGGCGAAGGTGAGAGCATCCTGTTTGCTCAACCGAGCACAGGACACTCTACTTTTTAGTGCCGCCGCAGCCACGGTCAACAACCTCCAGCATAACAATGAAAAAATGCGGACGGTCGTGATCGGTCGAGAGCACTTTTAAAGCGTGCCATATAAGCGCCGGCGCCTCGTTCCTTTCCCGGTTCCATCCCAGGGCGCCGCGCCGTAAAGTAAAAACAAACATTTAACGGTTTGCGCGCCACACTCGGAGGACGTGTTAAGCATTAGAGCATATAGTACCGGTGATTAGGTCTGTGCCCCTGATGGATGCTGGTTTTCCTCTGGTTTCAGTACACCATGCTGTCTGGACAGGTGCCTTTTCAGTGTCAGGAGAAGAGCCTGACACACACCAGCGCTGAGGAGATCATGCACAAAATCAAGCAGGGGGATTTCTCTTTTGGAGGCGAGGCCTGGAGAAATGTGTCCCAGCAGGCTAAGGACCTCATACAAGGTGAGGCTGTAACCTCTCACTATGTGTTCTGCTACAATATTAAAAATACATAGTTAGATACAAAAATAAAGCATCTTATTTTGTGTTAAACCTACACATATCAGTGTATTAAAGTAGTTGATTTGGAGGTAATTTGGTCTAAGACACTCTTCAATACAAATGTTGGTTTTCAACCACATGTATTCATATTCGACTGTGTATTATTCTATTAGTTTTCTGATGTTTTATTCTTATAATTGAGTAATTTCTAGCATGTTTTGGTCTAACCCGATCCTAATTGGTGGAGGACTATTTGGCCAACATTTCCAACCTTCTCTAAACCTCAGCAAAGGAACGCAGCGAATGACAGTCGGACCAGGGACTGGGGTTGTCCCGTCAGACCGTCAGTTCCCGAAACCACACAACAACATAAAACTTGTGAAAGTGCGTGCGGGGTCAGTGCGACCCTGCCGGACTGCGCACAGAGTGAAAAACACTTGTGACTCTTAAGAGGTTGAAAAACCTGGTTTTTCCAAGACTCTCAGTTCATACTGAATTCAATAAAATCGCAGCAGAGAGAAGTAGCTTCGTAATCCATTTCTACATAAACATGGTTGTTGTGGAGTTTTTCCATCTCCACAACAACCATGTCTTTAGAAGCTTCACACTTTTTCCGTTATCCAGATGATTGATGGAACGGTGCTCTGTGAGGTGTTCAAAACTTGGAATATTACTTTTGAAACCCGCTTTAAGTGTCCCTACATTGTAATTCCTGACCCGTCTGCTCTGTTCCCTGTTTGTTCACGAATGTTCTAACAAACCTGAGACCTTCATAGAACCTGCATTTATGTGGGCTCTGTCTGATTGGTGAATTTTGAACAAAGATGATTACCCTTGATTTTATGTCGGGGTATCGGAGTAAATACCACACATCTGGAAAGCATTCGCAGCGCTTCACTTTTTCCTCATTCTGTTATGGCACAGCGCCATCCCAAATTGTATACAGCTAATTTCTTTCCTCAAGATTCTACACAAAACACTCCATCATGACGATGTGGAAAATAGCTTTGAGAGTTTTCGCTAATTTATTTCAAACAGAAAACCAAGATATCACATTTATGTAAGAATGTAGAATTTTGCGGAAAAGAGAATAATTTAATACTATCTGGAATAGGGTTGCAACGCAAGAAAATGTGGAAAAAGTACTGCAAATGCGTTCCATATGCACTGTACAATCGCATAATTTACATTAAAACTACGCATCACTTCCTTTCGCTTCACTATTATGCACCACTTTGTGTTGGTCGATGACATTACACCCTGCGAAACGCTCAAATGTTCTCATGTGAAGCAAACTGGTTCAAAGGGCACGAAAACCTTTTCTAAGCTGGGATGTAAACATGTCGGTAGCATTGTAGATAAGACGCACAGATTTGAACTAAGATATAAAATTGCTGTCAAAACAGGAAGTTTGTCCTCAACTGAACTTCAGTGGAGCATTCATCATGTACTGAATTATACGGTATATTAAACTGGTTTTATGAGTAACTTGTATCAACTCGCCACAAGCGTCTCAGTAATGAACCATTTTCTTTCTCTGTCATAATTGTTATGTAACAATGTTGATTTTTTTTTTTGTGTGTGTGTCTACAATTACCCACTTAACTTAATTAATGTTACGTTTCCCTTCTTTTCTTTTTTTTAACTTGAGCACCTGACCCTTCGTTACATCTTTACTGACTACAAGGCTAGAAAACCTGTTGCTTAGAGCCACTTCTTCTTCCTGGAACTGCCTGTTACTGTCTGTGGGTTGCATCTGATAGATATCATAATGGCTCTTTATCAAACTGTAGGTGACCCAGTTGCATAATTTAGATCACCATTTTTAAATAACTGAATCATTATTCAGAAATTTTACGTACGGTGTAGGGCTGAAACGAAATGATTGTCAACTGATTTAATAGTCGATTAATCGTTAACGGACTCTAAAACAGGGTATTTGCTGAAAGAATGATGTACTCAAAGCAGTAATTAGGTCAAAACCTTAACAAAAAAAGTGTCTAAGATAAAATAAAAAACATTTGCCTGTAAATCTATTGTATGCAGAACTCCTCAAGTGGCATTATTAGCTTCACCCAGTTCAAATTTTGTAAATAAGTTCTGTTTAGCACCTTTTACTATCTAATTATTCACCAGTAACCTAAAAACAATCAACAGATCAACTCTAGTATGTATAAACGAAGGCAGAAAGCGCTGAGCTGTTTTACTGTCGATGCGTTCTTTGCTACAAATGATCAAGCGTTCATTAAAAGGAATTCTAATATTGCATTTTAGGCAATATTAGATTCCTATGTTTATTTTCCGAGTTGAATTATTTTTTATTTGCGTCTTTTAACGTATTTCGAAAATTGTATAATTTGCAAAATGTGACCGTTTTCAAAAATCTGATTAATCAATTAATTATCAGGATAAATGATCGATTAATCGATCACTAAAATAGTCATTAGCTGCAGTTCTACTGTGGTGGTTTAAAGCTCTTCCCTGTTTGAACTGAATCAGAAATGCAGACCATTCCCAACAGATGGTGACCTGGATATGTGAAATGTCGCTCTGCCCCAGTCCATTTCCTGTCATATTTTTCAAAAAATAATTATTGTTTCCCATACTTTTGTTCTTTCAAATTCCAACCTGTTTGAGAGCAAAATCCTCATTAAGAACATTTTTAACGTGATAATCAAGCACTGGAGAAATTTCAGAGCAATTTTACACACAATCATCATCCCTGCTATCGCCCCCTGCTGGCTATTAGCCAACAGGAACATTGCGAGCTCTCTGCGTTGGCTTAAGCACCTGCTCGGGGGAAGAGAATCACTTCCTTTGTGGGACTCACACATGACTCACCTTCCTCGCTCGTGTGTTAAGTGAATTATCTGAGTCTCTTTCCCCCCCCACCCCCTGCAGAGCTGCTGACGGTGGACCCAGACAAGAGGATTAAGATGTGCGGCCTCCGTTACAACGCCTGGCTCCAGGACGACAGCCAGCTGTCCTCCAACCCACTCATGACCCCCGACATTCTCGGCTCCTCGACTGCCTCCGTCCACACCTGCGTCAAAGCGACCTTTAACGTAAGAGCGCCGCGAAAGAACGCTGTTGTTAGGAAGTAGGTGAGAATGTTCTTTCTATTCTAGTAGCGCTCTCCTTCTGGGAGCCCGCCGCCAAATCCAGCGAACCTCGTTTAAAGAAGTCGCGGAGACGCTGAAGAGTCATCGTTTGATGTCGTTGCAGCTGCATGTCGTTTGGGTTGTGCGTCCGCTGGTCTCAGTTGGATTTAAATCTGGATCTTGACTGAACCATTTTAGCACAAGATTATCCTCTTAGCTAAACCATTTCTCTTCATTGTTGAGGGATTTTTCTTTTCTTCCCTGTTTGTTCTGAGGAAAAGCATTCCCACAGCATGATTCTCCCACCACCACATTCAATAGAGAGGGATGGTTTGTTTGTTTTCTGCCACACTAGGCAGATTACAAGGGAGTTGCTGTTGCTAAAAACAAGCCTGTCGCTATAAGCAGTTGAAGGGCTATTTTGTTCACAGAGACGTTATAATCCACTTTTTAATGGTTTTGGTTGTGTGTGGTTTTTGTTTCTGTTTTATTTATTGTTTTTGGTTGTTGTGTTTTATTTTGGATATTTGAAATATTGTCTAGTATTCTTTACAAAATGGAAGTTTACTGGTCCTTGAGAGAGGGCGAACTTGCAATATCATGGTAAGTTACTTGAAAACGGTCTGAAAACAATATTACCGCAAAAATTACTGGGACAATTTGTCACCCTGCAGTATTTGTTGTGGCGACAGGCCTAATTAAAAACACAGCTCTGTATTTAGCAAACGCAACAGAAACGTTGGACCAAATACCGAAATAAACATTTGACCGACATCGTCGTCTTCCCTCCTGTTTCATCTCAGGCTTTCAACAAATGCAAACGGGAAGGTTTCCGCCTACAGACGGTGGACAAGGCGCCGCTGGCCAAGAGGAGGAAAATGAAGAAGACGAGCACCAGCACGGAGACGCGCAGCAGTTCCAGCGAGAGCACCCACTCCTCCTCCTCCTCCTCACAGTCTCAAGAGAAGACGCTAACGGAGGGCGAGCCCAACCCGCCGCCTTCCAACAGCCCCGCCGTCAAAACGCCGGGCACCGAAGAGACGGACTGCAGAGACCAGAACGCACTTTCGGCCTTTCGCTTCTCGGAAGGACAGTGAGGCGGCAGGCGACGCATCCGGATGCAGTTTTTGCTTCGACGGACCGTGGAGTCGACTCGGTCGCCGCCTCCAGCTCCATTGCATGGACGTCTGCATGTCACCAGAACCGAGCATGCAGCAGGAGCAGCAGCTTGCACCGTAATATCAATCAATCAATCAATCAATCAATCAATCAATCAATCAATCAATCAATCAACCAACCAATCAATCAATCACCATTAGCAATAGCCTCTCTTCTCTTTTCTTTTTCTCTGACTTTCACACTTCCTCTGTTATCAATCAGGGTCTGGACCAGGCAGAAGTTGTCTTTGTTGTCTTAAGGGCTGCCCCACCGTCCCGGTCCAGGAAGATGGAAGGGAGAGACGTCTTTACTGTCCTTATTAAAAAAACGAAACAAACAAAAATAACCCCAAAACAACGTCGGTCCTCTCCTCGTACTTCGTATCTGTCCGTGTCTAGGCGTCTTTTTTTTTTTTTTTTTTTAAAGGGAAACCTGTAGTATTTAAACTGCGGACGCTTTGTAAGGGAGGAGAAGACGCCAAACCAAACCTCGGGTGAAATCGCGTCCGAGAGGCGGAGCTTTTATTTATATGTGAATTTTAGACTGTAATCTATTTATCATAAGCTATATTGTTAACTTATTAATGGTTCCAAATGAGCCTGAATAGAAATAATAGATACATGCGAGTGTTCAAAAAAAAAAAAAGGAAAAAAAAAGAAGAATAAACAGATATTTTTGTGTAAGTGCGGTTCCTTATCCGCAGAAAACACGGTGGGTTTTGTAGACATGACTGCAGTGGCTGGTTATTAACAGTCATGTAGACTTTAGTGTCATGGACGCAAAGAAAAAAAACAAACAACAAAACAGCCGACGGTGTTGATGATTGTTAAATTAAAAAAAATGTATGCATAAAAGATTAAAGAAGAAAACATGTGAGCATTTCAGCCCACTGTGTTTTGTAGTTTCTGCCCAAAACGAAGCGTTTCTTGTGACCCTGAGAGCAGAGCCGAGTTTGGATGTGGAACTACTTTAAAACTTAAAATGGCCGCTTCTCTAGCACGGTCCAATCCTCCGGGTCGGCAGCGGTTAGCGCGGCGTTTAGCGCAGCGGTGGGTTTTCCTTGGGTCGTGCTGCGTCCAAAAAAAGAAAAAAAAAAAGAAAAGAAAAAGTGAAAAATTTTAATTGCGTCCTTCCCACTACAGTCAATTAGATCTTTGGGAGAATTCAGATCCGCTCGATGTGTGATGAAGTAGAGCTTTCTCTGATTGACGATTGAAAATGGCCGATTTCAAGTGGTCTCCCGTTCAGAAATAACGAAATGCAATTACTTTGTAACAGGAAGGTGGTTTTCGTTGTGTGTGTGTGTGTGTGGTGTGTGTGTGTGTGTGTGTGTGTGTGTGTGTCAAAATTGCAGCCGAATCAAGTAATGTCCGGTTTCCAGCTACGAGTGCAGAGGTGGGGATATTTTAGGAGCCTGCAGGGCAGCAAACAAAGTCGTGTTGCTTTCTTGGAAGTCTTCAAACTTTTTTTGTTTAACAGCAACAATAAAAAGTATTCACCCATCTTGGATGTTTTTAGTTTGTTTTTTTTAACATTTTTTACTGCTTTGTTAAATCAGTCATAAGCAACAATTTTTTTTTTCAGTTTTTTGACAAAAAAAAAAAAAAAAACTTTAATCTCAAAAGTGAAAACTGATTTCTACAAATTGATAAAAATATGTAACATAAAATCAGTGACTGCGTAAATATTCACACCCTTTCAAGTTGGTCTTTGCAGTTTTCCGCCAATCGTCCTCACAAAACTGTTTGAACTCTTTCGCGGGCTTTTCTAGTCCCGCCACAAGACGGTTTTTTTCTCCTGACTGATGCGTCTTAACAATTTTTTTTTTTCAGATTTGCTTGTAATTTTTAGTCTTCATGCTGTAATGGTAGCCGGGTGTCTTTGTATTGCAATTGCTTCACAAACTCACCTCACTCATGTGATTTCTATTCCTCTAATCACAATCGTACTGGCTGGACCTCTGTTAACTGAAGTCAAGTCACTTTGAACCAAGTGAATATTTATGAAATCACTTGTTTTATGTTAAATACTTTTATTTATTTAATTGTAGAAACAAGTTTTCACTTTGAGGTTAAAGGAGTTGTTTTTTTTGTGTGTGAAAAACAAGTCTAATTTTTTTTTTGCTCATGATTGATTTGCTAAACGATAAGTAGGTAAAAACATCCGAGGGTGTGAATACTTTTTAAAGGCTCTGCATGTCAGACTTGGATTGTTCTTCATCTCTGATGCTGCCCTTGCTCCTCCTACCGTGTGTGAAATAAGGAACCGTGCAGACGTTTGGTTAGTCCTAGGTTTCTAGTGCATGATATAATGTGAACTGAAACATAAACCACTTTTATCCTTTTTTTATATTTATGGCCTTTGAGGCAGATTCCTACTTGATTCAGTGTGAGTTTGTTTACCTGTACATTGAAGAGCCCCGATTCAATGTGGGACTTTCAAGTTTTACTCCTTTGATTCGTTATAAATGTACCAAACCCCGCTCTTTTTTAACGAATGCGCACCGATTGAGCTTTGACCTGCCGACACCAATTTCAGCCGACTACAGTTTCTCTTTATAAGACGTTTTTGTAGCTTTAAGGTTTTCCGTTATTTCAAAACAAGACTAATTGATTTCTGATTTGAAATGCTAATGCTTTTTAGCATCTCATATTAGAGATTAGCACGGCTTCTTGATATTGATATTCCTTTATTTAACCAGGTAAACCCCATTGAGATCCAGATCTCATTTTCAAGGGGGACCTTCTGAGAACGGAGAGCCTCTTGAGATTTCTAGAAGGCTGCCAAACATTTTCAAATCCAACATTTCCATAACAGAAAGAGGTCAAAAGCTAAAAGGTCAGACTTTCTGAAAGTATGGTTTTTAAGAGCTGGAGTGGTGTGTTCACTGCCTTGAAAAAAGGTGGGATGTTCGAGTTTCCATCGGTGAGAGCTGGCAAAGCTAAAAATGGTCTGATTTCAGTCGCTCTGTGCATCTCAACTTTTCTCCCTCTGGCCTAAATATTCTAACGTCCCAGTGTTCTAGTTGGTGTAGTTCGACAGTCGTGTTAGTTGTTATGCCTCTCTTTCTACTACTTACTGAAATACTGTATTTTGTTTATGCACATATATATATATATATATATATATATATATATATATATATATATATATATATATATATATATATGTGTGTGTGTGTGTGTATGGGGGCACAGGAGGTGGGATGTGAAATTGAAATCCTGAGCTTGACTACTGTGTCCAGTCAAACACTCATTCACCATCTTCCATTTTAATGCACTCTGACTCCGAACCAAAGCATTAACTTTTAAGGTAGCCGCCGCTTTAAGCTGCATGGAAACTGTTTCCTTTCATGCAATTATGCAAAGAAGTGCTTCATTTTTTTATGTTCCAAATGTTCAACATTACTATATATATATATATATTTTTTTTTTTTTACAGTTGACTTTGTTTCTTTTTTTTTTCTCAGCACACCCTCATGCCTAAAACTATGCACCTCTTTTCGCCTCTGTGTGGCTTTTGTCCTTTTTTTTTTTTTAAATAAAGAAAACAAATCAAATGGGTTCAAACATAAAAGGGCGTAGCACAATGTACACGTACTGTGCTTTTTTTCCCCCCCCTTCTTTTTTCGTTTTTCATCCGATAGCATCAACCATAAAAGCAGAAGCAGCAGAGTGGGGATCCGTTGCCTTTAAAAAACAAAACAAAAACAACTGGAATCCTTGAAACTAAACACTACAAAGCTCTCGTCTAAGTTAGCTCGCATGAGTTCCCCGTTGCTGCATCATTAAGCCTCTTCTTTTGTTTGGGTGTATTAATAGCTCAAGTGGAGGAAGAGGGAAGAGTGTCCTATATTGTGCTCTCCTCTGGGAGCCGTGCTCTATTAACTGATGCGCCGCGCTGCTGTGTGCTCCAAAGAAAATACCGTACTCCACTCCGCGTCTCTGTGGGACCAAGCTTCACTTTCTTAGCAGGGGAACAGATCAGTGAATCACATTAAAGGGCCGGTTTGGCTCCAGAGTCTCCTGGGGACGACTCTCCCCTCCTGCCCCCCCCCCTCGCTTTGACGAGCGCCATGTTTGCTGTCCTGCTATGGAAAAAAAATGAGAGAGAGAGAGAGGGATGCGTTACTCTGAATTTGCAAGTTTAATGAAATGTCTCCCTCTTCCTCCATTTTGAAGTTGAAACGTCACACCTGGTGGAACTAATCCTTTTTTCTTTCTTTAATTCAAACACTGTTTGTGTTAGCAGAGACAGAGGTTAGCATGTCTTGTTGCTAAAGTGACTCTTTGGAGCGTTGTTTCTGTGCGTGTTGCGTTTATTTTTATTATTATATATTTTTAGCACCGAATGCACGGCTTCTGTTGTACACCGCTGGGGACAAGTCTGCTTTATTTCTTTGAACAGAGCCGATCACGGCGCTGAAGTGCCCAAACCGATTTTGATGTTTTAAAACGACGCGGCCCTTTAATGAAGCGATTCTCCTGCCAGGAGCACTTGAGGAAAGAACTTGAGGAAAGACTGCAGTAGTATTTCTATTTCTGCCTCAGGAAAAAAAAAAAGAAAAGAAAAAAAGAAAAGGGGCTGGGGAGGGATTTCAGAATGGAAAGAGGCTCATCTTGTGTGTGTATTTATTGATATAGTCTATAATAAGGGAACCACTTTAATCAACCTGAGTATGTTACAGCGTATTTGACTGAAATTTATCGAAATATTCTCAATAAATGTCTGTTCATGTGAGCAGCTTTGCTGTTTTTTTTTTGTACTGAAAGTAATGTAATGTTTATACTCGTTTAACTGACAAGGCGGAGTAGTCCAAATATTTTTTGTTTTTGGTGGCTGTCGATGTACATTAGAGGAAAAAAAAAAAGTTTAACAGATCTTATTTTTTCAGACAACGTTGGCTTAAAATGACTCTTTACGTCATAACTCGATGCAAAAGCAGCCATATGGGAAGTGGTTCCTGGATTCTGACCTCCTCCAGGAGATTATTGTGACATGAATTGTATTTATCTGTTTTTGAAGGGGGGAGTTTGTCGTTTTGCATGTGCAGTTTAGAAGAATGCGTGGCGTCGTCACCATTTTTTATTTTATCTGTTTTGTCATATTGCATGTGCTGCCGCTCGATTCCGGTTTCTATTTTTCAGTGTCGATGGGTCAAAACGTACTGTAGCAGCAGATCCCTTTGAAGCTGAGCAATTGTGCGATCACAAAAGAAACAAAACCAAGCTTTAAGGCCAAAAGAAGAAGAAAAGTGCTTTCAGTTATTTATTTTTTTATATGTAAGAAACAACCTTATCCCCCTTTTCAGTCGTTTATCTGTCTGTTCCTGTTCAAGGCTGTTGTTCTGTAATATAAACCTCAATAAGAGTACTTTTACCTGATACAACAATATACTTTGTGCTTATTTGCTTTGTAGAGCACTGTGGAGATCCTCTTTTTTTTTCAGGTCACATTGGTTACTTTAACTGACCGAAGGAGGAAAAAACAAAAACAAAACAAAAACAACTTAATTTTCTTCAATAAAAAGCTTTTTACTGGCTGACCACATCTGCATGTTGAATATGCTTTCACCAGTTCTAAGAAATAAAATAGATTTAAAGGCATGCAAGGTTTGTACAAAGAGAGTGGCCTCTAGGTGGCGGTGTTTGTCAATGAATCTGATGAACAGTTACATATTAACATATGCGCTATCACGTTTTCTGTTTAACATGTCGGAGGTAAATCATTTTAATCCTCTTTAACAGGATTATTTTGATGATGGGTAAATAAATAATGGCTGCTGTGTTCTTTGTAGTAAACGGAAAAGTTTTGTACCCATTTAGTTGTCTAATGAATCTTGTGGAAGAATATATATTTGTGTCTCTGAAGTTGTCACACCTAAAATACAGCTAGTAGATCCATCCACACAATCTTAAAGCATTTAGTAGATGTAGTAGCAAGGATAAATAGTGATAAAAATCATTTTGAACAAGAATATGTAGGTAATGTGTATAGTAAAGATGAATGAAGTCACTCTTAAGTTTTATCCAGTTAAAATATTTTCTCCCGTTCTTTCGAAAAAAAGTTTCTAAAAGTTCACCACTGCTACAAATAAATATGAAAAACTCAAATTATTTTTCTTAAAATGTAATCTGGTCAGCTAAAATCACATAAAACTCACACTTGCATCATTAGTATAATGGGTTTTGTGTGCCTGACCTGCCAGCAGGAGAGGGCGCTCTCTGAGTCTGACCTTTTCCTTAAAGTTGAGAAAAGGCTCCTGTCAAAAAGTCATTGAATGCAACATTTTCTTCAGGAAGGAGAGAACAAAAGACTTTCAGTCTGTGTAATTTTGTCTCACTTTAAGAAAGTAAGTACAGTGCAGTGAAAATGTATTTACTCCTTGAAAGGCGTATTCTGTCCCGCTATTTTTGTCACCTAAATGTTTCACATCATCAAATAAATGTACATGTCAGACAAAAATGAGCTGAGTTAAGGAAAGAAAAAAAGGTTTCTAAATCAACTCGATGTTGGATCACAAATCACCTGCCATAACCGGCTCAGTTCACCAGCCGCACCAAGGCCTGATTACCGTATCTGTATACAAATGCATGCCACACTTTTCAGATTCTCTCTCTCTCTCTCTCTCTCTCTCTCTATATATATATATATATATATATATATATGAGAGCGGGTATATTGTGTTTTCAACTGTATGGATGATTGATATAACCGCAAAATATTTGAAAAACAAAGCCGAGTTATGTATCAGTGGCTTTGAATCCCTCCTCTGTTGGTTTCACCCCACTTGCTGCATATATGCAAGGATACAGATGGTGCACTTAAAGGGCACTTTTCCTCCGGCTAATTTTGCAACATGGATGTTCAGCAGCAGAAGCTCATTACACTGCTTGTGCTCTCTCTCTCTCTCGGTCTCTCTCTGTGCAAGATGTCTTTTCTTTGAAATCTCGTCCCCCCTGCACTAACATGCTATCCATTACTAGACAATGTGTTGTATACTCTGAGTATGTAGATGGGAGATACACTCTGAAAACCCATCACAGAGACTCTAATGAAAGTGATGCATCAAACAAGACGGACAGAGGGGAACGCTTTACCGCTGAGTAGAGAGGATGCACACAGAGGAGATGTGCATCTGGTTGATTTAAACATTCATATGAGTTTGCAAATACGCGAAGGAAGCCACTGATGACAAAACTCTCATTTGAAACGTATGAAAACTGGGGACTCAGAGGGGGGGAATAAGTTGAATCTTTTGACATGGAGAACGATTTAAAGTCTTTTCCCACACAATCACGGGACTCATCAGTCGACTTCAGACTGCAGCGTTTCGCTGTGCTGCGCTCCTCTGTCAGTAAAAGAGTTTTGGATTAACACAAGAGCTTAAAAAAAAAAAAACAGGTTCTGTTGTATATTTTTGATAAACATAAATAAAAATAATGGCAGCTACAAGCGCAGCTGAAAAAAATGAGAAAACTGTGAAAAATGTTTTTCAGAAAGTTAGATAATGAAAAGCCAAATGTGGTGTCTTTGAAAACTATAATACTAAGTGACATCAGTAAAAAGACGACATTTCAAACAGAAATGTTAGGCTTCTAAAAACTTTGCCTATTTATGCTCTCTGAATACTTGGGTCAGTGCTGCTGAGGCGGAAAATTTCTGCATTGCTGACACTGATGGTTCTCCGTAGGTGTAATGGAAACTTCTTGAAGTTCTTCTGCATTGTTCTGTCTGGTCTCTCATCTTCCTTCTCCTCAGCGCAAGTAAGATTCATCCGACTTCAACCTCAGTCCAATCCTTGTGAAGGTCCAGCAACGTACTGACTGGATTTTGATTGGCAATCATTTCAAGGTCGCCCAGTTGTGACCACACTTCTGTTTTTCCCCACTTCCATTCAGCCGTCTACGAATACACTCTGACTTTTTTTTCCCCTTACAATGTTCAAATTTTCCGAGGCAATGAATTTTGCATTTTCAAAACTCAGTAGTTTACTTTCTGTGCAGTGAATCTGTAGAACACATAAGTTTCACTTTCGGAAATGAGTGACAAAAAATATGGAATTTTTTCCTACCTTTTTTTTTTTCTTGCCCTCTGGATCCCGTTTGAGTCAAA